TAGATCGGAAGGCAGTCTTCGGAATATCTTCCTGCCTAATTCGGATTTGATGATAACCCGACCTCAAATCAATCTTTGAGAAGACACAAGCACCCCTCAACTGATCAAGCAAATCATCTATGCGAGGGAGAGGATACTTGTTCTTAATGGTAACCTTATTCAACTGACGGTAATCAGTGCACAATCTCATGCTACCGTCCTTCTTCTTAACAAATATGACTGGTGCTCCCCACGGGGACACACTTGGCCGGATAAACTGCTTAGCCGAAAGCTCTTCAATATGCTTCTTTAACTCGGCTAATTCCGGTGGTGACATCCTATACGGAGCCAGAGAGATAGGCCCCACACCAGGCAACAGATCAATCGTGAACTCAATCTCTCTATGAGGCGGAAGTTGTGGAATTTCATCTGGAAACACATCCACAAACTCCCTCACCACGGAAATAGTGCCAATCTCCTCATGACTTCCGCCTACTAAACCCCCCACAAAGACATATCCCAATGCCCCGGCCCTCAAAGCCTTTCTAACCTGCAACACAGATAGATATGGGGAAGAACTAGTAGCAGAATCATCAGCATCAAGCACAATCCTTTTACCGCAGCAGTCTATCATAGCACAGTTCTTTGACAACCAGTCCATACCCAAGATAACTTGAAGGCTGATCATAGGTAAACAAATAAAATCCAGCACGTAATCTCGGCCTTCATATTTGAACTCAACATCTTTACACAACACGGATGTATAACACTCCTCTCCAGTAGCAGTAACCACTTTCATTGGAGGGCGAATGTCATACATTTGCAAATTTAGCCCAACGGCCATAAAATCAGACATACAGGAGTGTGTAGCTCCTGAATCAAACAACACTTCAACATCCATATTATCAATGTAAATTGTACCTTTCACTAGATTCGGAGCCTTCTCCGATTGCTGACGGTCCATGGTATATACTCTACCAACCGTCTGAGACTCTAGCATAGGTTGAACAACAGAGACCGGAACAGCAGTAGCTTGAACTGCCATAGTCCTTGCTTCATTCTGAGGACACTGCCTGGAGTAGTGACCGGATCTTCCACATTTAAAGCAAATCACCTCACCAGTAGCACATGGACCCCTATGCTCTTTGCCACATCCCTTGCACTTGGGAGGAGGTCCTCTATCAACAAACTTCTTCTGAGCACCGGGTTTTTTGAACAAGTCAAAGGGCTTATTCGCATTCAGCTTCTTGCCTTGCACCTTCCTGTTCTTCCAATAACCGGAGCCCGTTGCTTTATGAGAACTAGGTGCCTGAGCCTCAGAAGACTTCTTGGTTTGGGACACCTTATACACTTCTTCCACCTTTCTACACTGGTTTACAAACCGACTGAATTCTCGGATGTCACAATTTGACATCTTCCGAGACATCTTCTCATTAAGACCCCATTGGAACTTGGAGGTCATTTCAGCCGGGGTGGGTAAGGCTCGCCCATAGTTGGCGTATTTCACCAACTCATTGAATTTTGAGAAGTATTGGTCAATAGACATCGACCCTTGTTTGAGATCGTTATACTCATTCTGCTTTTGTTCCCTAGCTTCTCTAGGGAAGTAGTTATCCAAGAACAATGTCTCGAATAACCGCCATGTGATCTCCCGACCTTCAGCTTCTAATGGCTGCACGGTATTTGTCCACCAATCTTCTGCTTCCTCTTCCAGCATATAAACAGAGTAAGCCAACTTCATTGCGTCAGGGCACCTCATCACCCTGAATATCTTCTCCATCGCTTGGAGCCATTTTGCAGCCGCCATTGGCTCATAACCTCCCTTAAAAGAAGGAGGTTTATGTTTTCGGAAAGCCATCAGTCTCCTTTCCTCCATCTCATGATCACCGACATTTTCAACTTGAGGTTGACGAACCTCAGTGTGATGACTCCGACTTCCAGAGTGATGGCTACCCTCACCCTCATTGTTACCCACTCCACCCTCTTCCTGTGAAGGAGGTGGAGAAGGCGTAGCAGTGTGAGGAGGAGGAGTGGGTTGCCGGTTCACGGGCCTAGGACCCCTCAACGTCCTCAACTCGGTCATCATCGCGGCCATAGCAGTCCGCGAGTCTTCATTTGTCTTTAACAAATTTTCATTGGCTTGCCTGCTAGCAGCCAACTCTCTCTGAACGGCTGCAAGAGCTTCAGCCACGGGATCAGGCTGTACGCCCGTTGCCCCACGGCCACTTCTAGGCCTCACAAGAGCAGCCAAAACAGGTTCTGGCTGAGCATTGGTGTTTGATGGTCCGGGGTTGTTTCGGTTCCTCGTCATGTCACTACACATGTTACACAAAGAAGTGAGTTGATCAGGCCCACACTTAGTGATCACAAATGCAATAATCATACAGAGTACTAAAACAACTATAAAGCATCAAACACTAAGCATACTCAACAATAGCTAACAGTTATTCCCGACGAAACTGCTCTGATACCATAAAATGTAACACCCCGTTCTAGAACCGGTTTGTTAACATCGCATTATGATATTAAGCGCAGTTACAATCACATGGGTTCAATTAAAATCCGGATAAATTTTTCATTTTAAAACGTACCGAACTTATAATACCCAATTTCGTGATCATAACCAAATTACCTTGCGGAAACAGATAAATTAAGCTTAACATCATGTTCATTTTCCATTTTTAAACCTTTAATTTACTTCTTGTTTAGTTCAATACTTCTACTATATTGTAGGTTTCTTCATTAGCTACCTGTGGCTTCAAACCGTGCTCAAATCGGAGCACTGTAGCCCAAGTTAGGACCATTTGAAGCAACACAAGAGAGTGTTGGTCACAGGCCCAGCGCGCTTCAGCGCGCTACCGGGCGCTCAAGCGCGCGCTATCGGGCGCTAAAGCCTCCATCTGGGCGCTTAAGCGCACGGAGGCAGTAAGCATCAGGCATTCCAGTGTGGGTGGGCGCTTAAGCGCGCAACAGGGCGCTCAGGCGCGCTACCCTGGGCGCTCAAGCTCCCACTGGGACGTTTTAGCGCGCAGAGACAGAAGCATCACCTCCTTCAGTGGCGAAGGGCGCTTAAGCGCGGACCAGGGCGCTCAAGCGCGCAACCCTGGGCGCTTAAGCCCCCACTTGGGCGCTCCAGCGCGAGGAGGCAGAATGCATTGGCATTCGCAGGGGCAGCAGGGCGCTTGGGCGCGCTCCTGGGCGCTTAAGCGCGCTGCCAGGGGATTCCAATTCCCACATTTCTCAAGTCCAAGCCTAGGGGAAAATGCATCCCCATTACAAACCCCAATTGTCCATGCCCCAAACTAAATCCTAGCACTCATCCAGCTTCTCCTCATGAGATTTAGCTAGAATTTGGGCAGCATGACCTTTGTTTTCTCATCGTTTACCAGTTTAAACAAAAGGGTACCTAATTGATTTTCAGCCCAACCAATTCACAACTCAATACATGATAGCATGCATATCTGAATTTCAAGTGGCATCATTTACATTACATACCCATTACAAATCATGGAACTTAGCTTACAAAATACTATGATCATTCCCTTGGCTCTCATCAACAAAAGAGATGACCAAAGGCATGAGCATAGGCTAAGTCCATTCCAATATACAAATCATAAATCTAGCATTGCCTATTCATTTAATTCTATACATGTGAGCTACAAAACAACATGTACAATCTCAAAAGAAATGCCACATTTCATGCATAATCCAGATATGGCCACTTGCCACCAGAGGCTCCTGCAGCATCCTTACCTGAAAGGGGGTCCCCACAACACGGGGTGAGATATACGAATATATCCAGTAAACCAGGGGTCCTTGGAGCATCTCTCCACCCCACAGTTCCATATCAGTGTAATAGCAATAACAATAATAATGCAGTAAATACATATCTATGCAAAGTGCTATACATCTCCAGGAGAAATCCCTCGAGCTCTCAAGCTGTCCTAAGGAAACTCAGATGCAAATAGTCCTACTGGCCAGCTAACTACCAAGTATGATTTACGCATCGTCATGCCACATACCAACATAGGGAAACACCATCCTATGCCACACCAAATGCATACACATACGTATAACAAAGCATTACACTATTTTATTGCATTTATATACACAATCACAACCTCCACCCTTTCAGGGCTTGGTAGAACAGTCAAGGGAATTACACCCAAGGTCCGAAGGCTTACCTCAATGCTTCAGTCAACCTTTGTTCTTCACCAACAGTTTCAGCAATCAACTTTTACAAACATACACCTACACATGGTGTAATGCAATCAACACATTGCATCCAAGAGTATTTCACAATCAACCATCAATTACTCAATTCAAAGCACAACACAAGTATGAGCTTACCAATTCCAATGAGCTATTCAAGCTCCATAGCTTGCTCCAATGGTTGATCACTCACGGTTGGTCCAAATGTCTCAATCCTAGACATCACAAGGATCCAATCAATCATTCAACTCACTAATTGTTCAACATGCTAGAATACTAACCAATCCAAGCATGAATTTTCCAATATTATGAACAATTATCAAATGATTATCTAGGCTCATTTCCACCGATTAAATGACATTCCTAGCATTTTCCATAACATGCTCTAAGCTCCATTCTTCCTAGAACATAGCTAATTCAACTACATTTCATAAAAATCCCAATTTACTATTCACAAACCCTAACTCATGCAAATTTCAAGGAATCATGAGGTTCAAGGGTTAGAATCTTACCACCAATGGTCACACAACCAAGGATTGATGGCTCCTCAAGCTTCAATGGAGGTAGAAACTCTCAAAACCCCAAAATCTCTCCAATGGCCGAATTTTTGAGAGGCAATATCCCTCTCCACAATGCTCCCCACTCAAAACAAAGCTAGGATTATGAAAGAGGAGAAGATTCTAAGCAATTTAGGCTTTTGAATCACCCAAAACCATCAAGGTTTCCTCCTTCCTCTCTCTCTTCTTCTCTCTCCCTTCTTCTCCTTTCTCCTTCTTTGCCTCTGTTCCTCGACGGGTTTCTGGGGGGAGATGGGTTCTTTTTGCATTTTATCACTTAACATAAGTTAAGTGGTAACATGTGGGTATTAGTTCGTCTATCTATTCAACTCCAATAATTACCAAACTTTACCCAAAAGTCTGGAATATTATTCTAGGAATATTACTATTTTTATTTTTATATTTTGGGTACTTTTGACAGTACCCATTTATACCCCTTAATTTTCACTGAGTACACTTTTTAACTCCAAAGTGACTCAGATTCATTTTATTAAGCCTCACACTTAATTTCACCCAGTAAAACATGTTTAATTAATTAATTACACTTGATTTCCTAATTAATTAATATGGGCTATTATAGCCTTCATCAATGATGCAGATAGAAAGGCAGAAGTTGAAGATGATAAAACACAGGAAGGAATCAAAACAGCGGTTAAGTTGGTGAGAGAAGCAGTTTTTCGCATAGAAGATGTCATTGATGAATATACTTCCTGTGGGGAACAACAGCCTTCTGATCCTGGTTGTGTAGTCTTACCATGTGAGCCTGCTGTCTTCATCCAAACTATGACCCTTCGTTCAAATAGCATTTAAGATTAAGGGTATTAAATTACAAGTTCGTGAAATCAAGGAAAGAAGTGAAAGAGATGGCTTCCTAATCCAATCTTCTTTGGAACAGGCACCAGCCACTTCTAGCAGAAACCGAGACGTCACATTGCATAACCTTCAAATGCTTCCTTTTTACACTGAGGAAGCTGATGTTGTGGGCTTTGAAGTCCCTAAAGCTGAATTGATTGGTTGGTTGGTAAAGGGAAGAGCGAAGCGCACTGTCATCTCTTTGATAGGAATGGGAGGGCAAGGGAAAACTACTCTTGCCAAGAAAGTTTTTGATAACAAAGAAGTGATTGGGTACTTCAATTGCCATGCATGGGTCACAGTATCTCAGTCGTACACCGTGGATGGATTGTTGAGGGACATGTTGCAACAATTTTGCAAAGAAAAGAAGGAGGTTCCTCCTGCTGATATTGCTACAATGAATCGAGACTCATTGATAAAGGAAGTAAGAAGCTACTTGCAGCAAAAGAGATACGTTGTCCTCTTTGATGATGTATGGAATGAACATTTCTGGGATGAAATTGAATTTGCTTTAATTGATGATGAAAACGGAAGCAGGATATTTATCACAACTAGAGACATGCGTGTTGCAAGTTGTAGTAAAAAAACTTCTTTTGTTGAAGTGCATGAGCTACAACCATTAACTCATGAGAAATCCTTTGAGTTGTTCTGTAGGAAGGCATTCAGATATGATTTGAACGGATGTTGTCCACAAAACCTTATGGGTATATCTTCCGAAATTGTTAAAAAATGTGAGGGTTTGCCACTAGCAATTGTGGCCATTGGTGGCCTTTTATCTACCAAAGGTAGAGATGCATTTGAATGGGAATGAAGACCATGAAGTTAAATCAAAAAGATTGATTCGGCAATGGGTAGCTGAGGGATTTATCAAACAAGAAGGGAGAAAAACTTTGGAAGAAGTTGCAAAAGAATATTTAACAGAGTTGGTTAATAGAAGTTTGGTGCAAGTCTCTTCATTAACCATGGATGGTAAAATTAGGAGTTGTCGCATTCATGACCTATTGCG